TATTTTATGTAATTACTTGTATAAATTACCCAATAAAGATATGAGCAAGGCCTCACCTTAATACCAAAAAAAAAAAATCAAGTATAAAGAAGATATGAAAAAGCTTGCAATTATTGTTTGTATCAATAAAATTAAAAATTATATTTCAAATATCAAAATATTTTTTATAATTATAGCTAGTATTGGCACAATGAATTATAACTTAGAATATCAATTTTAACAGGAATAGTTAAGAGTTTACTTCAATTAGTAATTATCAAATCCAAGTACTAAACTTTTTACAATTACTAGATATATTTTATATACTATTAATAGCTTGAAATTTTGGTTTTTATAAAAAGTTTGTCTATCAAAATAATCTTTTTAGATACATTATTGCCAATATAGATATTTAAGTTTATACTCTAAAGATATTTTATAAATCAATTTGAGTTACAAAAACAAATAAATTAGAAAATATCAATTTAGTAAATATTGTATATCTACTTGAGAAAAACTTATATTTAATTTAGGTAGAATTTTTATGAAGATCCTCTGTTACTGCCTTTCCAACACTAAACTTTTCAAGAAATTATAAAGTTATAGATGAATCTGTAAAAAAGCTTAGCAATTTTAGAATTCATATATGCAAGCATAAAACTTACTTTATATACTATATGTTCCAATAGTATAAGGTGCAAGATCTTCAGAATTGACCGTTAAACAAACATTCGCTTTATTTATTATACAGTAGTTGTTAACCCAACCTTTCGTTCAAATACCTTCAACAAAATAAAAGGTTATGCGAGTTACACATTTAGCGTGATTCAACGTGATTCAACATGATCACACTTAGACGTGTAAGTTATACAGGTTATACCAATAATTATTACCACTGGTTATTAGAACTAAAATTTTTAATTAAATATCTTTAAAAATTATTTAATAAAAATTAAAAAAAATTTTAAATAATAATAGCAAAGAAAATAATCAAAATAACAATGAAAACAAGAAAAATATAATTTACTTATATTAATTTTAATATTTAACACTTTTAGATTATCTATTAATACCAATATTGTAAAACCTTTATAAGTGATGCTTTTGAAGCCAATTTTTAATAATATATACTTAGAGATTAATAAAAGAAAGTGTATTTATATAAGATTATTTTTAGAAAAAATCAGATAATTCTATCTATCAAAGAAGTTGATATTTTGGATGTTCTATAGAATAGGTAGGCAATATAAAAAATAAACTCTGCCAATGATTAATAATCATAAATAGATATTTAATGGAGTTGTAGAGTTTGCAGAGTTTGCCACTATTCTATAGAACATTTGATATTTTTACATATTAAAAAGCCAAATTCTTAAATCTCTACTTACTTGTATAGCATGTAATTACTTAGTTGTTTATAGTGCTTTAATCTACAATCTGCTAATTTGAATTGATTTGATAGTTCAGATTAAATATGAATATTCTTATTCATCAATTTTAAACAAATAGATTTGTTGTAAATAAACAATAGACTCAATAAATAGTTTAATAGTTAAATGAAGTCTAATTAAGTTATTAATAAACAAATAAATAAATAATTTAAACCAATTTGATTAGTTAATTTTAGATATTATTATCTTGTTAAATATAAAAATAATTAGTTTAAGATTAATAAGCATTAGACCTATTTAGTTCTAGCTGTAATATAAGTTATACAGCATTTTGATGGTGCCTGGATTCTAGAGCATCATCAAAAAATGCTGTGATATGAACAGTGATACAGGCCATGGCCAGGTCGATAGACAGGTTGGTTCTCAGTAAGCATCTTTATAGGTTAGTTAATAAAGATAGATTAGAATCAATTCTTTTCTAAGGCTAAGAAATTGAATATAAATATTCAAGAATTGGCTAATTCAAATAATAAATTGGCAAATAACAGATATAAATAAAGAAATTTCAAATATGTTCAGTCCATCTACTATTAATTAATAACATCAAAGTTAACATTACAATTTCTCAAACCAAAAAGAATAAAGCCAGCTAATTTAGTATCACTAAAATTTGGCAAGAATTTACCTAATATATTTTTACACACTAGATATAGATATGGCATTGGAAGAATTTACTAGTAAAAAAGTGGTCTCAGTCAATCGGCCTGAGCATTTTCTCAGTTAAGATTTTTTTATTGCCAATATCACTACCTTGGATATACATTGAGAAGGGGGAGGCTATCAAGTTTTAGGGCCAAAACAACTAATCTAACTAATCTACACTACTATAACCAACAGAACTAACTGTCCAAACTAGAGTTGGAAGGCAAAAAAGAGGCGTGGAGAGACTTGGCCTGAGTTTTGAAGCCTTTTGAAACTTGCTGTGGCATGACTGAATAACAAGATAAGTATAGACTTGAGGTCTTATTTTATTAGTAGGTCGTATGCTTTATTTAAAGGTTAAAGAAGTCTCTTTCTTGAATTTAATATAACCGGGCTTCTATATTCAGCGAAATTGGATTTTTGATTGTTTGACATAATAGCAGAACAATGGTAAGGATGACGAAATCGATAGTTTATTTGTTTGTTTAATATAAAAAGGTTTTAATTGTTAATTAATATTTTCTCTTCCTCTTTTTCTTATTTAAAACAAAAAGATGTGTATCGATTAAGATCACAGAGACAAGAGTAACTATTTATTTTATAACGACTTATTAATAACAAGTTTATTGTTTTTAAGGATGACAACTACTAGAGCTAGCACTTCTACTCGCATTTCGATCAACTAATTAGCTTTATTGAAACGATGGAAGCACCGCTTTTTATACTTTTCCTTACATTTTGTCAACATATGATACTATAACTAATATGGCTATATACTTCGTTTAAAAAATGCAGAAAATTCAAAAAATGCAGAAAATTCATAAAGTTCAAAAAATTCATTAAATTCAAAAAGTGCACAAAATTCACTAAATACCATATCGGGCAAAGATATTTGTTTCTAAATTTGGGGCATATTGTTAATTGCGTCTAATACTGCCGTCGAGTCATAGAGCACAAAAGGAATAATACATATGAGAGAAAAGAAATAGTAATAATAATAATAATAAAATAAGCAAAAAAGGAAAATATAAAAAAAATAATAATAATAAAAATAAGATCGAAGCCCGGGCCACTCACAACGTACGTAGAGCCACTATACCTTATTATTATTTCTATCTCAAAATAGACCACTAATCGCTAATAATCCTTTGTTTACTCATAAATCGATTGCCAGAAAGGTAGTAAGGTATAACAGGTATGTTTTAAATTTAGAAACTATGCACAGCCACAAGCTTTATAAAATTTTAACTGCAGTATCAGAAAAGTTCGTGTAAATCCTGTAATATTTTATAACACAAATATCTAAGTGTATAAGGTAGCTGCGTGATGTCAGCACACAAAACCAGGAACGGGAAAGTATCTAATATTAAGTGGTTTAAAATTTTAGGTTAGAATTATAATTAGTCAAACTTGTTAAATAAAAAAATGCTTAATACGTACTGTTAATTTTTCAAACGATGGGAATAAGAGGTAAATTCCTTGTTATATAGGGGCCCGAAGGGCTCTTATATGACCAAGATCTACGGTTTATTTCCCAAAATAAGGGAGATATTGTCTTCTTTTTTTTTGATTCACAAATTATACAATACCAGGAACGTTAGTGGATGGTTTTACTGGCATCTAAAACAAAAGCAAAATCTCAAAGCTGATTGGAAGGCAGTTCTTGGAGCTAATTGGATTGTACGTTGTTGCACGACACACGTTTTTCTTTATGATCGATTTTTGATGTAATAGGAAAGGGCAAATCCTGGTGAGTGAATCATGATGATGAGTTGGAATAAAATTTTAATAAATGTAAATTTATTAATAATACGCCTCACAGTGTCTCTTGCAAAAAAGTTAAAAAGATGAATAGATAAATTTTAAATAAAAATTGTAAATGCGGTTTAGATTTACTAATTAGAACGTGAATTTGATATTATATTGATTTCAACGATACATGATTCTAATTAGTTATTTAATCATATAATTTTCCTATTATCGCTTTTAATTAAATTACGAATTTGCAAAAAAAATAATAAATAAGGAAATAATGAAAGTGTAAATACATCTATTTTTATTACGTATTATTAGATCATCGATTTTAATTTTATAGTAATTCCGTATTATGTAATTATGAATTAATCGTTTTAGAGCGTGATTTTCCCATTATGGCTTTTGATTGAATGGCAAATATATGAATCGCGTGAATGAATTCTATCTTATAAGAATTGATATGAAATGAAATTCGATTGATATTCTCTTCGAACTATGAAGTAATTTATGTAAAAGATGTACTTGATGACGAAGATGTATAATGAGCTTAAAAAAGACATATGTTATAAAATATGAAATAAATTCACGAGGAATGATAAGTGTGAGAAAATAAATATATTTTACGTGTTTATGAGATTATTGAAAACATGAGATTCATATGATATTCTAATCACGTGATGAAATAATTTATATAAAGGATTTTTAAAAATTTAAAGAAGGTAAATAAAAATTTGTACTTTATAAATGAAAATATTTAACGTCGAATGAAAAAAACTTGTATATATACACTTATTATAAATAGATAAATAAATATGTTATTGTAGTCTTGTTGGTTGATGATTTTAAATGATGTAACAAGTTACCATTACAAAACATAATAAAAAGGGCTAATAAACTTTTTTCGTGCTGTAACAAATTGCACATTACAATTCCGTGCTGTGTTGATACAATCGTAAAAGTAAATCAAGTCCGTCAAACAGACAAAGAAGAGACAAAATTGACTATCATATGGGCAATAGCTGTTTACCCGATTGAAAGTTAAAATTGTGAAATGGAAATTGTCCTTTTCGTTCTATGAATAAAGAAGAACGGGATCCTAATACTCAATCAGTTTTTGTGAAAAATGAATATTATAGTATATGCGGAAAGGTAGTACCTGGAACTCATAATAATGAATTGAGACTAAAAGTGAGTGTAAAGTTTATTTATAACAAAAAAAAAATATGGTAATGTAATGATGCTTATTAACATTTGACAAATTTAGATGACAGTAACTTCTTCGACTCATTTAGTAATCAGAAGAGATCTTGGTTCGAATAGATGTCCATTGAAAACTTCATTGGTAAGTGTCGCACAAGATATACCAAAGGAAGTTGATGAAAAATATGCAATATTCAAAATACTAGTTAATGATTATGCCACTCAGCATTATAATTTTATTGTTAAAATAGCATTTCCATATAATAATAACTGATTTAAATACTTAATGAACTCAACCCGTCTAAATGAATCGGTGCCCTTTATTGTGGGACACATGGAAATTATAGATAATGAACTATATGTTTATGCTGCTAATATCTCCCTCATTGATATCAATTCTGTGGCCAAAAAAAAGGCTTCGAATTCAAATAATTCATTTACATCCAAGATATATAAATCTGTTCGATCAAGACTCTTAACCACACATCAGAATGCTAACGAAAAATCGTCTAAAGAAACTTCGACTAAAATGAATAAACATACGATTGATTTAACTACCGAAAATTCTCACTTTTCAAAACACGCACGGGTAGAAGATGCGAAGAAAGAAGATGATCTTTATAAACAAAGTGCTGAATGTAGTAAAAAATATGTAAATGGGAATAACGAGTATGAGAATAATGTTGAAATTATTGACAAAAATGAATGCGCTGTACAAGATCAAGAAAAAAGAAGTAAAGGTAAAGAAAAAATGGTACAATTTACAGTGCATAATACAAGAAGTCGATCCGAGATGGGTAAAAATACAAATGAGAAAAGATGAATATACAAATTTGACTTATTTCTAAAAAAATTAACATATTCTAATGCATTAAGTTTATAACTAATATATATATATATTCGTATATATAAACATTCAAATTTTTTCTTGCACATGAATTAAATTTAAAAATATCATTACTGATAAGTATTAAGACACCTTTGTATCTGAGAAATTATGATTTCTAAATTTTATAATAGCTGAAATTACTGCTCACATACAAATTGTGTATATATCGATTAACAATTTAAAACTTGAAAATAAATATAAAATAACAAGCATTTAATTAAATTATCAAATCATGTATATATTTAATAAATCATATGCAGCGCAAATCAAAAATCATACGTATTTGCAATTGATTAGCGATTTCAAGGATCCGCCGACAATCATTTCACCGACAGCTCACTTAGCCGACATCACACCGAGTGACAATTTTCCAAAATGTGACCCGGCAACTAATAAAACGCTAATCCTAACACTATGTGATGTCGGCTAAGTGAACTTTTGGTGAAATGATTGTCGGCGAAGTGAGCAGTACCGCGATTTCAAGAAAAGAACCTGATTGTGATTAGAATCTTACTATTTATGCTATATTCATTCACGTAATAAGTTATAGAAAAAAATATTTTTCTCACGATATAAAACGAATACTGTATAATGATAAAATGATTGTGTATGTGTTTAAAATAACCTTATCTCATGATGACCAAATGAAGCAAAAACATTATTTTTGACCATTTGACCCATTTTTATTGACCTGACCTAAAAAAAAAAAAAAATTACACCGTTTTTGACCCTATGCGATGTTACACAATTATGGCTGGAAAAAAAAAGAATATCAATAGACTTTATTTTTACCGCAAGCATTATTATGAGTATATTTAATTAATATAATGCAATTACAATTATTCGATATTTCAAATTCGTTAAAAGTCTAGATACAAATTTTTTTAATCTTCGTTTAGCATTATAGACCCCAATTTAGACATTTGTTTTTCTCTTGTTTTTTTGCCGTCAAACCATGTAAATAATTTTTTCTTATTTTGTTCGGCATTTTCATCCAAATGAATATTTCGTTCAAGACAAACTTTTACAAATTCACATCTCTTCCAGTTAGTTTGTTGCTCTGCAAAGAGCTTCTCAAGTTCGGATCGTATGATAGCCTTGGTAGATGATGCTGTACTAATGCTACCATTGTTTCGAAATGACTATCAAAAATATATAATTAATACATGTGTATTTATATGATTATTAATATTAGACTTACTTTCTTAGAAATACCACGCTTACGATTACGAATTGCAACTGTTCTTCGTTTTTTGAATTGATGGAGTTAATAGGCTTATTTGTTCTTCAGGATTATCAGCCGAAGTGTCATTCGATTCAAATACTGCTGTTGATTCCAATTTATCATCAATTGACATTAAATCCATTGAATCATTTTTATTGTCATTATTGGAAAAATAATTCTAAAATAAAGTTATATTAAAACTACAAAATAAGACCAATATTTAATTGATTCTATTATATAACATACATACTTCTTTATCATAATTTGCTACACTTGTAAAACCAGTTGATTTTCATGGTTTTGCTTCCTGAATTTTTGGAGCACCAGCATTTGATATTTTTCGCACAGGCATTTCAGCAGGCCTAAATGGGTCTTTTTCAGTAACCCCATGTTCATATAGGAAAAAAATATCACTGCCTTGTTTCAAATAAATTCTAAGAATTTCCCCAAACACAGCATCATCTGAACTGCTATAAATAATAAGATTCTTTTGTTCTGTTGGCATTGCATGTTCCTTATTACAAAAATATTGCACCAATTCATTTTTGATAATGTTTAATATAGTTTTACTATTTTCAATATCATTAAACAAATGTGCTGCATGAACATGTTTACATACGTCTCTAAAAGAACCATTCCATACAAATTCAAGGCATGTACATTTTCCCGTAGAAGTATTAATAAGATAATAACCATTTTGTTGCACAGCTGGATGTTTACATGCCAATTGATCTCACATTGGTTGAAGTAACTTATATGATTCATTATTAATACCTATTTTTCTCATAGTATATAGTGATCTAAACATTTCATTTTCTTTTTTTATATAAAAATATATGTCAGATTCTTTAATTACAGAATGAAGTAAAACATAAAGTCGCCCTTGATTTAATTTTCATTTCATATCAATTGGCTGTTTGAATTGTAATGTTTTATATTCTATAATTCTTGAGTTTCAATATGTTACTTGACCAGATTCAAACACAAATTGTAAAGATGTTTCTCTAATAATATTATCTCGTATTAAAGTAATTCCATAAAGTCTTTCAACAAAGCAATTAATCGGTTGGGTTTCTACACACCGACCCTCAACTGATTTATTCATCCGTTCTGTGAGATTATTTGTTGTCATAGGCTTAATGCCTGGCTTATAATTTGAAGATGGCATTCGACCACCATCAATAAAGCAATTGATCCATTTTTCTGACAACCAATTTGAAAATAAATCATTACATAAATATTCTTTTGCAATTTCTGTAAGAGGTAAAGATTTAATAAAAGATTGATATGCTTTTCCTAGCCTCAAAGCTTCTTCCTTATTCTGGCTTTGGCCTACTATTTTAAAGGCAATAGCAATAGAGTAACGATAACAATTATCAATTTGTAAGCTTTTAAGATGGTCACTGAATATTTGCATTATATGGAACCAACACAAAATAACACCACGAAGAATAGGTTGAAGTCCTCTTTTCGTTGGTCAATGCTTGTCAATCATTGCAAATGGCTGCCACAATTGCGCACATTGCCTAATTCTCATAAATCCTTTGTTATTTACTAACTCTATATAAAAATACTCATGCATACAATTAATATTGTTACATGGTATATTCCGCTGGACAGCTTCTACTGCAAGCCTAATAGTATGACTATTCTCTCTATTTGACACCCCAAATGCAATTGGTGTTCCATAACCTGCATTGTCCTCAACAACAAGAGATAAAATTGGTGCTCCGTCACTATTTAGATCATATTTACCATCAATACCAAAGCAGAAAAAGCCAAAATCACATGCTTGTTCGAGCCATAAATCATCACTCAAGGTAAGTTGATAATAGTGTTCTAAATTATCTTCAGATACATTCATATCTGGTTGTTGGTAGTATAATACAGCCCCTTTTTGTTTTAATACACCAGTTACCAACTCATGCACAATTGTCCAAGGACCTACTGCTTTTTGTATATGCAAGCTATCTCTTTCAATAAGCTGCTGAAGCTTCACATCATCACATACAGAATTTTGGCTTTTGTATAATTTGTCAAGTTCATTTGATGAAGCACCATTGTGTGATGCAAGAAGTTTCATCTTTATCTCTTTAGTTGTTCATTTATCTGCCCGATGACTTTAATTGCAAGATCACATGTTTCTCGGATTATATTTTGTGGAACGTGATTGCCTTTAATAGTTATATGTATAGAAAATTCTGTTTCAACTTCAGAGAGTATAACTTCTGTAAGAATTCGAACATTGCACTTGTGCATATCGAAAGGATTCTTGAGGTTATGTTAATTTGAATAATAGTTATATGATTCAACACATTTACCGATTCCACCACAAGATCTCTGGCAGTTACCTTCACCAGAGCAAAACCAAACCTATCTCCAAACATGAATGTCACTTTCACTTCCAGCATGTATTTTTTGTACCCGACGCCTTCCATTTTCGGTAAGTTTTAAAATGTCATCAAGATAATTAGTTGATTTACTTTGGCCTTTTTTGGTTTTCCAACCTAAATAATCAATGGAACCTTCTATGCGTTCAACTATAATAAGCCCCTGGTTTGCTGCCTCATTAACTCGTTTTCGGCTTTGAACTTTATAACAAATGTTCTGTGATATTGGAAGCGAATATAAATAATGTTCAACAGCCCGTCCAAATGGTAATTGAATATCACCATTATTACCGATACGAAAAGAAGGGAAGTCATTTTGCATAAAAAATTAATATAATTTAAAAATTTTTACGTCGCTAATATAGTCTGTGATACAGTATTTATTGTTGTAATTTTAACAATGCTTGGTATATCGTTATCTTTCCTTTTAAGAGCAAGAAAACAAATTTATTATACGTATTTGCCTTTTATATATGATTAATTACATCATTTCGTTCTCATATTCGTAACTAGCTTATATTAACTTTTAATTTATTACAGATAAATTATGCAATCATTCTTTCGTTCTCATATTCGTAACTAACTTACTGTATATTAACTTTTAATTTATTACAGATAAATTATGCAATCGTTCTAAAATCCCGACCAACACGATGATCACGTTACACAGTACGATCATGCAACATCACATAGGGTTAAAAACGATGTAATTTTTTTTTATTAGGTCGGGTCAATAAAAATGGGTCAGGTGGGTCAAAAACAATGTTTTTGCGTTTAATATATATCGCATAAAAAAAAAAATTTAATGTAGTATAAAGTTTGCAATCCTGTTTTATTTAATGTAAATGATTTATTTTTTTGATTTACGTTTAAATTTTTTTTATATTATTTTTTAAAATTTCACTGATTAAGTTACTGTATTTTAAATTAATAATCTTTTCGCACTTATAACATTTCCCGTGTCTTAAAATAAGCGTTCACTTGGTATGCTTGTTGCAGGAATTGTGATAAAATTTCGCGCCCGTTTCACTTAAAATTAAAATTGGCATTTTGTAAAGCTTCAAAATCAAGTTCAGAAAAGAGCAAGATATTTGTGGATTCGTTGCTATATCATCTCGATTTTGAAAGTTTAATGAAAAGACAGATTTAATAAATCTTTTACTGTGTTTTCATTAATCATGATAGACTGAGATATTAATACAATTAGATTCGTTCTCTTCACTATTAAAAGAAATAAATCTTTTACGGTAGTCATGATAGACTGAGATATTAATACAATTAGATTCGTTCTCTTCACTATTAAAAGAGAGCTTTACGAGAATGTTAACAACAGAAGATACAGTATCTTTATTTAATATTAAATAAAATTCCCATGTTTTTAATTAATACAGTAATGTTAATTAATAAATCAAAAAATTTATCACTATCAAAAATAATTAAATTTCAATTTTGACCGATGTTCGATGATTGACTGAATTAAAGAACTCAACGAATGAAGTTTACTTCGATGCTCGAGTAATTATTTACCAATTCCATTCTCTGCCTATTGCAAAGCGATTTATGTCGTTTTTTAATCTACAAATGACATATAATTGACAAAATTGCGCGTAACAAACATTGTAACCATACTAAAAATAATTTGAGTAACTGAGCCGTAAAAAAAATATATTGTGGCAAAACAATAATTATAATATTATGCGTGAGGCTGCAATTATTACAAATTTACTATCATTATTGAATAAATAAACATGTTTGTTTCCAAATATTGAATAAGGAATAAGTATCCAAAGCCACAAAACTATTTAAAAGATTTCGTCTTTAATTTTCACTTTCTTCAAAAGTTCTTATCTAAAATGAATTCATCGAAATCTGAAGAGCAGTATCAAGAACAAATTAAGATTTCGATTGATGCTCCACTTGATAGGAAAAGAATCGATAGTCCACACAATGGGAAAATAATTGATAAATATATTTTTTCACCAAAGATGCAATATCTCGCGACTTTTAGCAAAGAAGATAAGTCAATAGTTGTATGGACCTGCAAAGAAGAGAAATCAATAGCTATATGGACCATCAAAGAAGAACTTACTATCGAACATGTCAATTGGTTAAACGATAAATATTTCAATTTAGTGGGGATCTCAGATTGTAATCGAATTATACTATCAATAATAGTTGGCGGCTCTGCACGCGGAGAAAATTTTGAATTTGGTTAGTTAAAAATTAATCATTAATACGCAAATATATTCTATAATAATAATGGTTATTTTTAACAGAAATTATTGACACCACAACTAAATCACGACAAGATATTGACATCATAACTAAATCACGACTGACAAAAATTAATCTAATTGCTTTTCTAGAAAATGGAGACCTTGCGATTGTCACAGAAGAACCTGTTTATCGGGTCTATATCTTTACAAAATCAAAAAAAGCAAAATATAATGACAACCATCAATGGATACGCAAAAAAAGTTTTGAACTCGAAATTTTTATTTTTGCACTATTGAACAAAATAGAAAGTTGTTTGTGTTTTACGCAATACCTTCCTTTGCAATTATGCAGTGGGACTTAATAACTCAGAAGTTTGATATGCAATATATGCTATATTCGAATTCAAATTTGGATGATCTTTGGTTATATGATTATAATTAAAAACGAAACTGAATAGTGACAATACGTTGTTTGCAATAGCATATGTAAAATATGAATATGATGCAAATTATGAAGATAAGCGAGTATCATTTTGCGATGTCTATGTTTATTCGACTAAATCTGGTATAATGATAGCAAATAGTAAGTATTTTATATGTAAATCATCAATATATAAAGATCAAGAATATTAATTCCATTTAATAATTCAGAAAAATTTGATGAGGAGTTACATAATTTCTGTTTTATTGGATCAAAAAAAAAAGAGCGTTTGCTTTTTTCCGGTCCGAATTATAAAACAGAGTGTTATAACTTTTATATATTGAATCCTTATACACATACTCTCGATAAATCTTCTGAAAATGACGTCCTACAGGATATTTATCCTGCAACATTTGAAAATTATAATCAATTGGTCCTATTAATATTATCTTTGATTATATTATAAAAAATGATAATAATCAATTGTCAATTCAAAGATTGTCACAAAATGAAATTTGGAAAAATTATTTAGAACGCAAAGAATATTTTTATAGTAGTTATTTCAATGTAAAGGAAATTAAGCCATTTATAGAAACTATTTTGGAAAAGCATGAGAAGTATGAGTCAAATCAAATTTTAGCTCCGGATGGATGTGAAGAATATTCTGTAGATACTCACACTTGGATTATTGAGCATAAGAATAAAGGTTGGAGTTTAAAGGCTCGAATTGGATCTGACAACGAAATTGACACTGGAGTATATGGTGGTGACAATTATGAATATAAAATGTTCGAGAATGGTGACATATTGGTTGTTACCGATTATTGGTTAGTCATATATTCAATAAGATTTGAAGAAAATTCTATAAACCCAAAACTTGTCACGATTTACAGTTGGGACAAAAAACATGATAAATCCAAACAAACAGAGGTATTCAAAAATCCCATAATCGAGTTACTTTCTTCCTTTAAAAAGAGGTTAAATTACTATTATTTTGATTTTGAAATTTTACCACCTCCAAATTCTTATAACCTTTATTATATTGAACCGATGATGTTAAAATTATATGGAAAAGATCTATTTCATATAACAACTTCAATCATTAATTACGATTTCAATGAATTTTATGATTATTACCATAAATATAGCTTGTCATTATTTGAGAATGATGACACTTATAACTTTGTATTGATGGTAAACCAATTTGCTTCTGCACTAGTTAAGTTAGAAAAGCATAACAAAAATCTAAAATTTACGGAAAAATTTTTATCTAAAACTAATCCTTTGGTTGCTACTGTTAATCCTATAGAAAATCCTATAGAAAAATCCTATATAGAATCTGAAGATTCTTTATCACATTTATCATATAATCTTCAACACTGTGGAAGCTATATTAATTCGCACAATTTATCTAATACTTTGCTTTTTATTTCCTTGTTTTTTTGGATTTCTAAAATAAGGAAATTTTTAAAAAGTTCTTGTACTCAAATTTATAACATTTTAGCATTCCCTTATTTGCTATATACTTCAAGTGGAATACATATGGACAATTATATTATTTTATAATGTGGGCAATATATTCAATTTTTATGAGTTGCTTTTTAATCGTTTCAACAATTCCAGAACATAAAATTTCTTGGAATAATCAAGCTATTCTCTTGGTTTCGGTTATTTTTTTTGGAATTTTTCATTTTATTTTTGAAATTCGTCAATTTATTCATAGACCGATAGCTTATGTTGCAAGTCTTTGGAACTGGTTTGGTATATACAGTATATATTTAATTTCAACGCAACCCACCATAAACATTTAATTTATAAATAATTAATTTGATATTATAATTACAGTATTAAAGTTTTATTTTATAATTTAATTCTAGATCTTGCTGCAATATTGGCTCCAACAATAATTTCATTATTATGGCTACATGATAAAACTCTACCAATTTGGACTATAACTATAGCAGATTTTTTACTTGAAATTAAGTTTTTACTTTATTTTCGTGCTTTAGATTATTTTGGAACATATTTTGCAATTATGATAGGAGTAGCACAAAAAGTTTTTTCTTTTCTTGTTATTTTAGGCATTATGGTATTAGTTTTTGCCCATTCTTTACATCTCTTATTAAGACCTACAAGTGAATATTCTTATGATCAACCAAGTTTTACTGATGATGATAATAATCCTTGGAATCTTGTTTCAACATATAAATTTATTTCATTAAATGGTACTGTTGGAGGATCGTCACTTATTGAAATTCCGGATGATAATACAAATTTATTTTCAATGTTTAGTACTTCAATTTTAGCTGTATATTTTATGCTAACAGGTATTATATAATAATTACACTCTACCCTCGTTATAGCGGATCCCGTTAAAGCGGATCATAGAAGTACTTCTCTAGAACGCTTTAAATTATTATTATTATACTATATAATGCAATAATGGATATTTATTATAACAAATAGAATTTTTCAGCCTGACCACTACGTTATAATGAGGGTAGAGTGTATTAAGCAAAATTTGGCAAAAAATATTAATGATTAAGAAAATTTGACAAAAAAATTTTAATCTTAATTTTATTTTTAGGCGATACAAGCTCAGTCTCTTTTTGGGTTCTAAAAAATAATTGGACTTTAACATTTTTATTAATTATATTCTCATTTTTTACAACTATTTATTTATTGAATCTATTTATTTCATTACTTGGAAATGCTATTGATGACAAAAATAATGAAGAGTCTTTTTTATATCTAAAAGGAGAGGTAAAAGATATTTATTTGATTATAATTTAGAAATAACATAAAAATAATTACTATATTTCATTTTTAGATATTGTCTGAAATTGAACTCTTTTGGATGTTACCTCATCAAAGAAGAAAGAAAAACTGGTTTCCTGAAATTTTGTAATTAATTTTGTTATTTGTTCTTACCATATAAGCGCAAAATAACTCCTATCCACATGTTATTTGGATATGCTCATGTGCGTTTTTTGAAATAAGGATTGAATTTTTGAATCCAATATAATCAATCTTCCACAAATGCGCACTTATGGTATATAATTACACATTAGGAGCATCAAATGATGTGCACTTATAAAAGAAAATGCACTTATAGAGAATGTACTTATAAAGAGTCGACTGTATATCATTTGTCCAACATAATATGCTATGTACAATAGAATATACATTAATTCGGAATGCTCATGAGCACTAATTTGAGATTGTGTAAGCAATTTTGAAGGACTCGATTTTTAATGGACGTTATTTCGCACTTATACAGTAAATATCATATCCTATTATACAGTATATATTAATATAATTTAAATTTTTAGATATTACAGAGCTTCAGTTAATGAGCTTAAAAAGTATGTAGAAACTGTTGAGGATAAAACAAGTTTGCCTCCTAAAATCTTCGAAATTTCTAAAATTAAAGATTTTGAAAATGAAATGTAAATTTCTATAGAGGAATTGAAAGACTCTATTAAGAAATTAAAAGATTCTGAAAGTAAAGATTTTGAAAATGAAATGAAAAATTCTATAAAGGAATTAAAAGATTCTATGAAGGAGTTAAAAGATTCTATGAAGGAGTTAAAAGATTCTATGAAGGAATTAAAAGATTCTATAAGGAATTAAAAGATTTTATGAAGGAATTAAAATACAAATAACTGATGTACTATAGCTTCAGCAATTCTTATGAAATAAATCTTGTCACATATTTAAAACAAATATCGAATGTTAGAAAATTTATTTTGGCTTTTATATAGCGGATAGTTGTTTATTTTGTTCTATTTTATGAATTTTATGAATTTTATTTTTTTGTTATTTAAACTCTTATTTTTTCATTTAAATAAATATTAAAGCTTAACGAATAATCGTTGCTAAAAATTTGAAGTTTTTATTACAGACAAAAAAGGAAATAATTTTACATTGATAATTTGTATAATTCTAAAAACTGTACGGTGGTAAAAGTCCTATTTTATATATAGTTTGATTTTAATTTATTTAAATAAATTTATAAATAAAATTTATATTATATAGGCATTTCTGAATTCATATAAGCGAATTTGTGGAATTTTGATAAATAGAAAACCCATGAGCTAACGTTGGTCAAATTTGCAAATCATAGCTACATCTCATAGGTTTTTCTCAACAAATCCGCCACGCTTCACGCACCAATGATTAACAATTCTTTCGCTCTCATCTTTGATGATTGGTGATTATAATTCATAAATCTAATAAAATTTCTATAAAAATAATAAAAATATGCCAAAGATCTAGTGCATATTTGCAACTAGCCCACAAATATTTGTACCAAAAAGTTATAGAGGTACGAACTGAAATTCAAAAAGGAAATGAAATCAATAAGATAGCTGCCAGCATGTGATGCCATGCAGAACCAGTACGATCATACGTGCAAGTAAAATTCAAAAATATATAGTAGTCACACAACATTGTTGCACTAAAACCAGGAACAAATATACTAAGAATATGGTTGGATCTATATATATAATCGTATTACAGGATTTAATAACTTTCTAGTGACATGTGCAGTTTAATTGAATTCAAATTGTCATATTTTCTATCTTCCTAAACCTATTCCTATCTCACTAGCATGTGAAATGTGTTAAGAACGAGTTAATTTATATTGGAATTAATGCATTTTTTATCATGAGTTATTGTAAATATTCCTGGTCAAAACTTACTCGCTATTCCAATGATATATAGTAGTTAAGATCATATTGAATTTGTATAAGAATTATATAATTTCCACCATGTGTTATAGAATTTACTATATAGTACAATTATTAAGGTTGAATTAGTTTGTATTAAAATTAGCATGATTTCCATCACAAGTTGTGGTAAAATATCCTGTCATAGAACTTACTTGCTATTCCAGTGATCACATTAAGTGGTCAAAGTCGAGTGTTTTCTGCTCTGGGTAGGGTTTTAAAATTGCTGCAATTTTGTGTAAGCTTCCGAAACCAAAATTTCATGTAATTTTGATATCATTTGAATAGTATACCAAAATTTCATTATACCTGGTGTACTTTTGCATATAAAATTATAGTTCTGAACATAGTGATTAATCTCTAATAATACTGGCAAAACTTTCATAATGTTGGTACAATAATCATGTACCAATCCATTATCAAATATAATATTACAATTTTGTAAGTTACAATGTAATTTAAAATGTAATTTATGCAATTTTCAACTCTAGCCCTGGGTTACAGAAAAAATTCACAGAACTTACTCACTATTCTGTAATTTCAGTACGCGGTTGAGTTAGTCTCATTAGAATTAACACGATCTACTATAAAAAAGTCTGATACAAACTTGCTATTCCAGTAATACATAGTATGTAGTTAATTTATTCGATAAATATCAAATTTTTATATAAGTGCAGTGCAAAACCTAAAATTAATTTTTATGCTTTGCAGCATTAAGAGTTAACAATACTAGATAGTTCAAGCTTTAATAACTAAATTTTTTTTTTTTAATTATAAGGTGTAGCACCTGCACTTAGACTTTATTTAATACTTAAATAATTGACATATGATGGTGCCGATACATATACATATTACATCAAGTGCTAAGACCAGGACATCAGGTATATAAACTATTTATCCACAGCTAAAACCCACCAGAGCCAACCATATCCCCGCTAAACAGCTGATCTGGATTTGTACATCTCTCCCCAACTGCCAATTAGTATTCACATGTCCGCCACATTACCCACAAACCATTTATCTTCAACTCCCAAATTGGTGTATACCAGGTAGACACTTATTGCTTCCAGTTTGGTGTGCCTGTCAGAGGGATTTTTTCTCTCAATCCCTACTTAGCATACTTCTAGGAATTCATATCTCAAGTCATGCAGCTGCCTCTACCCAAATAGGTAAGTATCTCAAGCCTGCATGCTGCCATAACTAGCTGGTTTCTGCAACTTTCAGGACCCAGGTCTTAACGTATCTAATTAGGTATGTGCTAACAACTGTACTTCTCAATATAGTGACAAGGCTGCCCAGACATGTTTCGCAAATGCTTTTAGTAGTCAGTATAGTTAGAGGGCATCATGAAGCTCAGAGGTACCAGGTGCATCATCGTTTCTTTTTATAGTGATTCTCGGCAGTTGTAGCCTCTAGTTACTACTACATGCACTTATACCAGCTCTATCTATATTGGTGGTCCCGAGTTCTCTTAATGCCAAAGGCTCCCATATGGGTATGACAAGAGCCTGTTAGGTCTATTAACACGTACACACCTCCATGCTTCAACTTCTTATTGGCTGGTGAGTTTTATATATGCCAGAGATGTTCCAAATCTGGTAAGGCCAATTCTTTACCACAGGTCCCTTTGTGTTCACCACATTTCTCACCACTTTCTAATTCTGGTTACTGTCTGGTTATTCTCCCAAACAAAATCTCCAATGCCGCCTTAGAGGTTGTTGGTACTATCTTGCCAATCATAAATTTATACATATAACCTTTGTGTAATAGAACCTTCTATAACAACCACTATTACACATAGTGCCAACTACTCCACAATAGACCTCCTTTCAGAAATTCCTAATTCAGACTTGTATTTACTTGGACTTCCCATAGCAGATACTTCCAAATATTTGTAGATAAGCATATCTACTAGGACTTGAACCTGAAACCCGCTCGTGAAGGGTTGGGTGCCTAGACTACTAGGCCGCGAAATCCCAACCCTTTTAATAACTAAATTAGTTATACTATATTATATTATTTAAAGTGTAATTAATATATAATATTACTTGCTACAAAAAGTTACTAGATCTACTTAGATACTAGGTTCTCTTAGTTATATGCCTGAGTTCTTATTCTTAGCACTAGAATTAAACTATAAAACCTTTTTCAATTATATAAAAAGTTTTCATTAAGTTTAATAAAGATAAGAGCAAAGTCTTACTTTAAACATTATATATATATATATATGATACTATTTTAGTAATGCTAGCATATAAAAGCTTATAATTAGTGTTCTGAACTGAATCAAATCATAGATTGATCCAAAATTGATCCAATCCCTGAATTTGAATCAAATCCAGTTAATCCAGCCAATCTGGGATTATAAAAAAAATTTTTTTTTTATGACTATTATCATAATTCCTAAAACACCTAATAAAATTAGCCAAATAATTTTTTGGCAAATTCAGTTAAGTTTATAATTTTAGCATAATATATTCTATAAATTGATTTATGTACATATGTACATATTCTAAGATCAAGTAACTAATATAAGTATTATATTAGCAAAATATCTTAGATCAAATACAGAAACATGATGCTCTCAAAGCATCTTCACTGGTGAAAAAATTAAAAAAGCTTATTATTTCGAACATTGCAAACACTTGGATGTTAGTTTGTCTTATATAAGTTGTGTTCTCAAGTATTTTCAAAGATATGGATGTATTAAAAATCTTCTGCGACCAATACTAATAAAAATTATGATTTTGTGAATGAAATCTTGAGTCACATCCTTAAACCAGTTAACAAAATTTTAACTATATCTAACTTTCTTAATATCAGCACCTACTCATTTTAACTACTCAATCTAATTTATCATATTTACTATCTAAATTTTTAGAGACTTCTCTGCTTCGTATACTCCATGACCATCATGTAATTACCATCTTTTGGGTATTTAATTATTCTATAAATTGCAATTGTCAAGTTGCCTCTATATTTGTATTGATTTTCAACTTAAAATATTAATAGAATAAATAAGATTACTATACTAATAATTATAAATAAAATGTTAACTCTTCCTGACAATTATTTGAACTAATACTTCTGACTGAAGAAAAATTGTAAAGTTTGTTGGAGAGGCATGTAGCTACAGTAGTGGTTTGTAGTAGAGGTCAACTAGCTACGGAGACTCCTCACTATTATTCAGCACACAAGCCAGAAGCCTAGTTAAGAGAAAAAGATAGGTGGCACTCTTGGTGAATTTCCATCAACAAAAGCTCTGTAGACTATAGTTCTAAAAAAGACTTTAGTAGTGGTTTGTGAGAATATAAATAGTTAACCTGGCCTAGGAGACTCCATCTCACATTTGGCATGCAAGCCAGAAGCAATGCAAACGAAGGAGGAAAATGCAGGTGGCACTTTTTAATGTGGCAAATTCTGGTAGAACAACGTTTTTGTTGACAAAACTACTAGGCCTTTCTTTAGAACACAGAGGTACAACAAACATTACCTTTTTTCTTTAGCTACACTCTTTCTATTAGTTCAAGTGTCCCTTTTTTTCAATTTTTTCTGCCCTTCTGCTGGTCTTCCAAGAAATTTTTCCAAAAAGTGGAGGATTTGGTTTACCCCCTCTAAAAGATTGGCATTGTTTATATCCCAATTCAGACGAACTTAGTAGAATGCAGCTATGTGTCTTGTTTACTTGCAGATACAGTGCTACTCCGCGTGACTTGGATCAGAGTCTCCAGTTAAAGAGGTATCTGAATTTGGTCGATAGTTAGACAGTGTATTATGTGTTATATTCAAAATATACAATTATTGCATTTGTTATAAAATTTTTTACTCTACCTAGCACAGGTTATAATAGTGTACTTTTCTTTTTTGTCATTACAACTTTTAGGTTATTGCCTATTACTTCTT